CAAGTGCTCAATGTCACCAAAGCTACTGCCACCGAAGTAAATAAATAAAATTATATTAAAAATTAACAGTTAATAACAGTTTCGTAAAAAAGTTAGATTGACGTAGCAATAAGACATGTTTCCAATATAGATCGAAAAAGGTTGGATCCTAGTTTATATTTCACTATGCTGATTTATCTTAATGTTAATTTGAGTTTATTAATACATTTTATTCCTTTCAAGGTAAGAGAAAAGTTAGATGTGGCGAAAGAAACTGAAATAAAAATTAACACGGCGAGAGAGGAATTCCGTCCCGTGGCGACTCGCGGATCCGTGTTGTACTTCTTGATTTGCAACATGTCTCTCGTGTGCAACATGTACCAGACCTCGTTGGCGCAGTTCCTGGAACGATTCGATATATCTATGGAGAGGTCGCCGCCCAGCCCTATAACTATAAAGAGGATTTGGTTCATCATTGATTATTTGGTATGCTGACACGGAATTTTTTTTGATACGATTTCAGGTTTAAATGATATAAGTAGAATAAACTATATTATTAGTTTTACCTTTAAGTTTTTGCAATATTGTTTTTGTTGGTTAAATTCATTCCATTGTTCCAGACATTTGACGTCTTTAAATATATCTGCCGAGGTTTTTACGAGAAACATAAATATCTCTTCACCTTACTATTGACGCTTAAAATTGACTTACAAAGAGAGTATATTACGTTTGATGAGTTTCAAACTTTTATTAAAGGTATGTTCTTTGTTTCGGTATTTAGATGTACTCATTTCTCGTTGATTGACGGAATGTAAATAATGTTTGGTTTACATTATGCCAATAGTAGGACAGTAGCGCTCAAAGTTAAGGCTAGTTTACAGCTGGTACAGTGCAAACACTGACCTGTGAGCCAAAACAGTCCATACCAGTCCGGCGCTAGTGGAAATACAGTACTGTCAGTACAGTGGTACTGGCATAATGTAAACGATACATAAAACTGCTGGTTTTAATTGTTTTTATAACTATAAATAAAAAGTCACAATTTATAATGCATTTAAACATGGTTTGTGTTATTTTTGTAGGTGGTGCAGCTTTGGATCTAAACGCATGTCCACCTAAACCATTTAAATGGTTAACTGACATGTCGTGGTTGAATCTTGTTCAACTTTCCAATTTACGACAGTTCACAAATATATTGAACCAAGTGAATAATAACGAAAAGGGATGGAAAACTTGGTAAAGCGACTTTGTTTGCTAATACTTAGCATTGTTTTTTAACGTTACTTGCACAGTAAATCACAAAATATTTTAATTTAGTTACACATAATTACAAATATTCATTATTATCCATAAGCAAAATTAACAATATTAGTACTGTGGGATGGATCATCTTCTAAGTTCATAAGTAGATCTTTTTGAGGAAATTCTTTTTTACGGGAACAGGGCAGGGAGTGTCATGATTATAATTTACACAGGTTTGAAAAGGAAGCACCAGAGGACGAGCCGCTGCCGGACGGTTATCACACCCTAGACGTGTTTAGGAAGTTGCTAGTGGTTAGGGCTTGGTGTCCAGATAGAACATTGGCTCAGAGTTTGTAAGTTATTCTGTTAAAACATGGTTCTCAATCGATCTATGCATCTTTTTAGTCTTTTATTCTTAATAAAACTATTTAAAAAAGCTGACATTTGGTTTTGTACTATGTTATAACGAAACAGCTGCTTACTGAAGTTAATTTTTCAGAAAATATGTCATCAGTTCAATGGGTGCCAGATTCTCCGAAGCTGTTATAGTCAACTATGAAGTACGCTAATTTTCTTTTAAATATTCGTTTGATTTTTATAAGAAAATTGAAGTAATCAAATAAATTGTGTTGACTGTCTTATGGTGTTAATCTCTTGTGTTATAGCATATGGTTCTAGAATCACGTCCGCTGGTTCCCTTGATCGGATTTCTGGCGATGGGGTCTGATCCGACGCCTTCCATTGAAATGACGGCAAAGCGTTTGGAGTGTATTTGCCAGAGTGTCTCCATGGGACAGGGACAGGAGGTGCACGCCAGAAAATTAATAGACAGGGGCCTTAAAGAGGTGAATGTTATTAGTTTACTTTCGTTTTAATATATTAGTACATTTTTGATTTTAATAGTTATAGTAGTTATAATCTTATCGAAAGCATCTTAATAGTAGACGGTTTCATACATAAGGAAACGTTCTCAGCTTCTTTTATTTTTCAGGGTATTTGGGTACTGCTACAAAACTGTCATTTAGGTCTAGAATATATGGTTGAAATTATGGAACAGTTTTCGGAACTGGAAAAGGAACCGGAAAAAATACACGAAACTTTCAGGTAGTACCAGAAGAATTATTAAACATTGGGCAAAAAAAAATAATCATCAGAGTGATTTAACAGTTAACTAATCATTTTTAATTATAGGCTATGGATTACGACGGAAGTTCATCCTAAGTTCCCTATAACTTTGTTACAAATGTCTATTAAATACACTTGCGAACCTCCATCAGGTAAGATCATTTTAATATTCAACCTTTTTAGTGCCCAAACTTTCTCTGGAATCTTAGGGGTCTTCACATGGGGACCAAACATTGAGTTTTGTTTAAATAAATATATTTTTCTTGTTAATGTTTACAGGAGTTAAAGCTGGTCTTATGAGGACTTACGATTCTATGAGTCAAGATTTCCTAGACTATAGCGACAGTCCTTTCTACTTACCTTTAATTTACACGATTTCGTTCCTTCACACCGTGGTGCAAGAGAGACGCAAGTTTGGTCCGCTAGGTTGGAACATTCCCTATGAGTTCAACTCGGCGGATTGGCTCGCCTCTTGCATGTTTGTGCAGAACCATCTCGATGCTTTGGAGGTCGGACAGAATATTAGCTGGACAACTGTACGGTAAGATATAATTTCATAGTTTCTTAAATGAAAACAGGTTAAAACATAAAATTTCTTAATTATTCACGTTTTACTGTTGCAGATACATGGTATCAGCCGTGCAGTATGGTGGTCGAGTCACCGATGACTACGACAACCGTCTCCTCGGCACTTTCTGTAGAGTGTGGCTCACCGACCAGTTGTTCACTGAGAGCTTCCAGTTTTATAAGGGTTACGGTATCATGACCTTCAAAAATATACCCGAGTATCTTGAGGAAATTGAAAAGATGAAGACTGTCGATCCACCTCAAACTTACGGCTTGCATACAAATGCTGATATCACGTAAGATAATCTTTCTATTTCAAAGAAGAGTAAAATGAGTGCTAATATTTTCACGTGTAAATTTTATCGCATTGAAATAGGAAAGAGTACATTTTATTCATGTTTATTTACCAGATATCAACGCAATGTCACTCAAGAACTTTTGGATACGATACTATCTATTCAACCTAAAGAGTCCAGCTCAGGCGGAGGCGAGACCCGTGAGGCATCGGTCTACCGTCAAGCTAAAGAAATGCTCGAGAAAGTTCCGCCTAACTTTGATCCTAATGAAGTAAAAGAGAGGTAAAGCTATACTTTTATTTAGTAAGTTATGATATACGATGTGTACAGGTTAATTTAAAAGCTGCGGAATATTTTCCATGAACTAGTGACTTTATTAACATATTTTTTCAGGCTAAGGTTTTATGGAATGTTGAATTCAATGGTGATTTTCCTTCGACAAGAGATTGATCGAATGCAGAAGGTTATCACGTTGGTAAGAAGTACATTGAAAGATCTGTTGCTAGCGATTGATGGAACTATTATAATGAATGAGGTATGTATTATACATGAAAATTACTCTTAACCTCCTATCATCTCCTAATCTAAACAAAAATAAAAAATGCAGTATGCCTATTATTTTTATTTACCTATATTCTTTCATGGTTAGATTATTATTACGGTTTACATAGATATAGTAAAATATAAATTTTAATGTTTTAAGGCATTGCGAGATTCACTGGACAACATTTATGACGCAAAAGTACCTAATATTTGGCTGAGGAGATCTTGGTCATCCTCTACGCTTGGTTTCTGGTTTACCGAGTTCTTAGAGAGGAACACGCAGTTTTCGACGTGGTGTTTCCAAGCAAGACCTTTCTCATTTTGGATGACTGGGTTTTTCAATCCACAAGGTATATTACTGTTACATTTTTTGTTCCATGTTAAGAAAATAGCAATGTAATGCTTGACTTATTTGGGATGTAAATCCTCTTACGATTCTTTTGTTCGATAAATATTATTTTGACATGTTCTTTACAGGTTTTCTGACAGCCATGAGACAAGAAGTAACCCGAGCACACAAGGGCTGGGCACTGGATATGGTTGCGTTGCACAATGACGTCACCAAATATATTTACGAGGAGATAAAGGCGCCCCCGCCGGTAAGATCCATAGCTTAGTTTTACAATGTGAGCCTATAATGGAGTGGAAATGAGAATTAAAATGTGCGATTTGGTGTTATCAGGAGGGTGTATATGTTCACGGGGTGTTCTTGGACGGCGCGGGCTGGGACCGACGCAACAGCCGTCTCTGCGAGTCCACGCTTAAAGTCCTGTACGCCGCTCTGCCGGTGATTCACGTCTACGCCATAAATTCTACAGCACCGAAGGATCCAAAATTGTACCAGGTAAGTTTTTTTTTTAATTTGAGTGTTAAAGAATTAATAAGTAATCACTTTGAGTCATTACAAGATTACATTTTGCTTTTTAAATGTTTAGTGTCCAGTTTACAAAAAACCTTGTCGCACGGATTTAACATTTATCACGCCTCTGTGGTTACCAACAATTAAGAACCCCGATCATTGGATCCTTAGAGGAGTTGCCATCTTGTGCGATATCAAGTAAAGCGACAGTTGTTACTCGGTCAAGGAAATACAATACGGCCCAACAGCCAATCGCTCCGCATCTGCCGCTGTTCTGTGTTTTTTTTGATACAATATCTTTTCGACTGAAGTAGTTTTACTTGTTAATCTAGTCTGGCGTAATTTTAATTATATCATGATATTATTTATAAATAAAAAAGATGTTGTCAATGTAAGCGTTTTTATTTTAAATAGTCGAAGCAGAGACGTATCGCATTTTATTTACAAGAGTCGTGTCTTTCGAACCACTGACAAACCTTTGGCAGTCTGGTTATGGATTTTGTTTGAATATAATTGACGGTTCCAATAGTTTGAATAGAGTACAGAATACATCTTAGTAACAGTGAAGACAAGTTGTACAACAATTGCATTTAACAATATAAGTGGACGGAGTATGTTCGCTGATTTATTCCTTATTATGGACTTTTTGTATTACTACGATCACTTGCTTGTAAGCATCTACGAATTCCTTCTATCCATAACCTATGTCACATACTTTTAAGTCTAAAACACATCTTGTTTCATCTGTTGTGAATTCGTTTTATAGATTTAATATACTTACTAGTAGAAAGGAAAATGTTTGTTCTTGAAAATGGATATAAAAATGCACATCAAATCTACTAGTTCAAGTAAACTGTTTTGTGTCAAATGTTACGTTTGTTTTATTTTTTTTCTTTTTCTTCAACATTTTCTCGCTAGACTATATGTTTTTCATCAATAATTAATAGGTATATTAAATCTACAAATCGTCGATATGAAGTTTAAAATTATTTGTATTACGTCTAAAACTTTGGCAGTAAAGGTACATACAAGAAACTAAAACATCAGTCTATTTTTAAATGAACGTATCGGATTTGTCTGTTCCGTTAAAATGATAAATTAAGAATGGAAATGAATTAATGCAAGACTTACTCGATTATGTACACATAACGTACACCTAGAACGAGATCTAGCATTTCTACATAAGAATATTTCATACTACAACAATATTAAGTTACTATATATTATATTATACATGCAGTCTTATTGTATTCACATTATATAAAGCTGGTTTATATCTATTACATACCAGATATAGATTTTCGGTAAAAACACAATGTATACAATAGCTCTTAAATATAAAAGAAGGATTCAAATACATATATTACAAAGCAAATAAGCTTATATACTAAAATATTCGTTGTTACAACGATGTACTTTTAATGAAATACTATAAACAGTACTGCGTACTCATTCATTACAAAGAAAGTGAGACATAAACTGTGATTTAAGAGTAAAACGAATTTCGCCTTTGGCTGATTGATGAAATTAATATTGCACACCATTATAATATGTTGAATTCTTTGGGGTCTTGAATGCCTTTAGTTCTGTTTTATTTGCCGTCAGCGCGAAAATTACCAAGAGGTTCTACTGATCTTGACCTAGGTGCTCTGAAAATAATTAGATGTTTTAAAATAACTAATGAAACAATAGAAATGCCAAGATAAAAAATCAAGTCTTTTTACAATATCTGAAAGGAATTGACATTATTTGAATTTTTCGAGACTTGTATGTTCAGAAACTTTTTGATTTTACTAGCTTGATTTAAATTTAGGGGTTACCCAGTGAGGGTTTAAGGCAATAAATTGAATTACCTTCGTCTTGAAAGCGTCAATTCTATTTTTCCTTCTTTAACTTGTTTGAAAAGCGAAATAGCTCCAGCGTGGCTTAACCCACGTGTTGGAACATTGTTAACCGACAAGATCTCGTCACCTGCAATGCAAAAATAAAATATAATTATAACCTCAGTTTGCTGTCTTACGAATATGTTCAATTTTGTATGATATCGCCCTTACCTTCAAAGATAGTTCCCTTGTCAGCGGCTTGCCCGTTTGGGAAGACAGTCTTTACAAATATTCCCATTTGTCCCTTTGGAGAATCAGTGCCACCGACAATACTAAAGCCCAAACTTTTGTGGCCTGGCCCCTTCCAGAATTCAGCTTTGTGCACCGAGCCATTAGAATGCTGTTGCTGTTCGTGATTAATAGCCGCGTTGTACTCCTGTTGCCGAGACACGTGTGTGTTTACGTTCTGTGGACCTCGTTGTGATCCAACTCTGTTGAAGAATCTACTTCGACTACTACTACGCAACTGATCTGGTATACTCTCAAAAGATCTGTTTTGGTATAATCTAGAAACATGTTTTATATAATGTGACGTATTCTCTTTGATTTCGTTTGATGTGTTCTCATTGCACGCTGCGTAATTCCCTATTACCGGTTGTGGCCTGGAGCTATGAAGGGATATTGGCCTGTAACCGTTTGCTCCCTTATTTCTTGGCACTGGAGAAGACCTCATTGAAATTTCTATATTCGTAATATTTTGTAGTGAACCAGGTTGCGCATAGCGCCTTTCCAGCAACTTTTCGTCATCACTTTTTTGATTCGATATCACTCCATGGTTAACTTGAATTCCAATTTCACATTTCTGGTTAGTTTCGTATTTATTTGTACGCGAATTCTTATTATTTGTAATATGTTTACTGTACTGGTCTTCCGCAGGAAAATGTGTTTCTATTGTAAGTTGATTAGATAAAGACGGTTTGTGCACAGTTTGTGAAATTATATCAGGAGGAACATTTAATGAAGATGGAGAAGATATCGGTTCACAGGGTTGACTGTTAATAATGCGACTTAAAGTAACCGGTGTTATTTCATCATGAGCCATAACAAGATCGACCTGATATCGTTGAAATAGAGTTTTTTCCTCGACGTTAGTTTCAGTGGAACATGAATTAACTATATGTTGAACATCTTTTAAGGACGACAATCCTCTCAAAACTCTTCCATTTACATTAACAATTTCATCCCCTATTCGAAGTCGTCCATCTCTGTGCGCGATTCCATCAAAATCAAGTTTTACCACAATATAACGTATTTCATAATTGGAACCACTATTATCGAAATCTACTCTATGCTGTGCGAGATAAACTCCGAGACTTTCATCCAGGCGAGATTTCAGTAATCTGATTTTTCTAAACCTTTTAGTACACGGTCCTCTACCTAAGATATCTCTTTCGGGCATTGGTTGCTGTTGTTGAATGTGCCGTTCTGTCACTATGTCATTATGATTCAAATTTGGCGTAGACAAATGTTGAATTGGTAATATTTGGGAATGCATTAATTTGATTCTTCTCGTTTGAACACGCTCATCCAATGTTACAGTTTTGTAGACGTATGGCATTTTCTTATTGATTGATTTCTTTGGTAGAGGTGGTGGTTTAGCATCATTGTAATCTACTGAAATTTGCTGGTTGGAGTTATTATTGACATATAATTTATTTTCGGATACTTTATTTTCATATTCATAAGATACATCTTTATCTACGGGAAAAAGTGCACACGGTGTAGAGCTTCGCCTTGCAGGAATTTTTATTTTGTTTACATCTATTTTCTGGTTAAAACTTAGTTGCCTTGAAAAGTTACCGCTATTACCATCAAAGTGCCTTACATTCGTGTCAGCCCTCGCCGTACCGCTTATTAAATGATATGAGTATATTGGTGGGGAATGATTACTATGTTCATCCATTGGTCGACTATCGCTATCATATCCCGATTCGTTCGAACTGACATAATTGCTTAGGCGATGAGCATGTAGAACTTCTTGATGGATGCTTTGGTTTGAAGAAGCAAGATCCGTTTTAAGTTCTTGTGAAGATCCCAGTCCTGCACAATAATCATATACTGGCAGGCTATTTCTGTTTCTTGGAACCAGCATAGGGTCATAATCTAACGGTCCCCTTTGTGAAATCATTGATGAACGTCTAGAGATATCGTCATTTTTCCTGTATGAATAGATATTTGCATCAAGATCATTAACACTTCTCATAGAGCTTCTTGTAAAATCGCAATTTTCTCTCAGATTCGAGTTAAATAATATGTTTTCATCATGGACGGTTATATTATCACTGCTTTGATATCGTTCCTCTGAACGGGAATTCGGTAGGTATAATCTTTCCCTTCTAAACTTTGGTGATCTTCTGTCTATTCTTTCTGAAAAGCTTTGCCTTACAGAAACTGTTGGTCTGTGTGCCATACTATTTTCTTCAGGTAAAACCGATAATTTTGAACGTAAAAATGCATATGGGAAATTTGGTTTTTTCGATAGAGTATTTGTTTGCCCTTCTAATTTAGGAATATTGTCACAGCTAATCGCCTTTGTTGAAGAGCTTACCAAATTTTCATCTGATATTATATTATGTTTCTGTTTTAGGGGAGATGACTTATTACTGTCATTTTCGCTATTCTGCAAGTCTATTCCATCGGAGGGATCATCAGCTTTGACATAAGTAGATAAATGAGAGGTAGAGCAACTGCGATAAAGAGAAGGAGTATTTGGTTGGCTAGAACTATGTTCGGATGTTCTATGAGAATTAAGAGAATGAGATTTGGATGAATTTAACATTCCAGTCGAACCCATTCTATGGAAGAATGTTTTGAAAGGACTTGGCGATCGGTCTCTTGAGCCGCTTCGAATTGAATCCGTGTCATTATCTTTTTTAAGAGCATTCGAGTCGGAACTACTGCGTCCCATTTTCCAATTTTGTTTTTTCTTATATTGCCCTGTTATAGGCAACGGTGATTCATCGTTGATAGGTTCTGTGGATGGTACTTCTTCGGAAGCTTCTTTTCCTTCAGGTTTCTTCAACATGTCTAGCTTCTTGCCCATTCGACGACCCCACGTTGCAAACACTAAAAAAATCAAGACATTGAAACATTTAACATTTAGAAGACTGACATAAATAATGAGTCTTTAGCTCAGTTACTAACCTTTCTTCATTTCCTTGACATCGTCCTCCATAACCATGGCTGGGAGTGCGGTGACGAGTGTGTAGTGGTGAGGGGCCTGCGGGGCGTGCAGGGCGTGCGACGGGGGAGCGTCTCTTCGCGGAGACGCGGCGGCGGGGGGCGCGGGTGGCGCGGCGGGCGGCGCGGTCACTTCCCTGCGCTTCGGCCCGCGGAAGAGGCGCATGATGACCGCTCACGCAACCATATCGCCGCACCGCGCACGCACTCTACTCTGACAAGAAATTCAATTATTAAAAACTGATACTATTTTAGGTAACAATCTTTAGGATACAGTTGTGTTATTTTAATGAGTTCAATTTATTTAAGGTAATCACTACTCATTAGTCAGCATATATTCATTGCTACTCAGTGTAAGGAGAAAAAAGCAAGTGAAAAGCACACATGTAGAACATAGTTTGAAAAAACAACAAGCTTATTAAGATTTTTTAATTTCACGCAGAATTAGTCGCGGGCGATAGTTAGTCTTCTATAAATCTAATGTTACTGACAACTTTTCTTATTGCTTTGAACTTATAAATAATATACTAATGTCTGTAACAACAGTCGAGTCGGTTGACCGGAAACCTATGCGGTTTCAATGTACTGTTTAACAACCGCTTTTAAAGTCCATTTCTAGAACGTGCCCTCAACTAGCGGTTCATTTTTAACTTAAATGAACTCGATTATACTTTATGTATCGTATGAGTATTTAATATAATTTTAATGACCATCCGTCGAAAAGAATATGTTAACGACATGCGCACGACAGCGACGGCGTCGCGCTGCGAATGGCATTGCCTGTAGACGTTGAAGTTATAAATAAATTATTGTAAGTCCGTGCGTCGTGATTCCGTAAAGGACTGGCGAGAAATAAAAAAGATTCATAAATAGCTAATTCCTTGGTCGTATATCTTGATGTCATTTTTTAATTTTACTTAGAACTGTTAATAACATTATTTACGTCTGACTTATTTAGTACGTTTATATACTTAAAGATGTAATCACATAAAAAATGTATATATTGCAATGATTTAAATGATGATTGTTACATAAAATGATGATTCATAAAAGATTGTACATTACTATGACGGATAAACGTAAAGGGCAAAATTAAACGATTACAACGAATTACTCCGTAATACAAAGTATGAACATACTGTAGCAAAAATCCAGGGGGGTTAGACAAAGTGCATTCGCTTCGAAGCGATTTTATAAAGAATTTCAAAAATGTATGAAATCGACGCGCGACAATCACATGACGTATCGAAAGTTATTTTCAGTTCTATGCATTTTTAAAGTTCGCTATGGAATCGTCTCGAAGCGAATGCATTTTATCTAACCACTTTGATGCTTTTAGTTTCAATGTAACAACGCCGGATGAAGAACACTATTTTTATGATTTGCATTACCATTTTTAAAATCATGTGTTTCATAATTTCAAACTTATTTGTATGCGTCACGTCAAGACTAATTCATCACGATTTTTTTGCCAATTTTATGACCGTATGATTTATGTAATGATGATCACGTAGCGACCGAGGAAGTGGGATCTTCCGGCCGGACGAAGAAGACATTGTGTTAGAGATTACTTTTGTATTGTCATATTTAACTGTTTATACCGGTATAGTAATCATGCGCGTAAAATATATGTTTCCTTGTCTTATATTATTGGAGGATTCTATTATGATTTAGAAGACATTTTAAAGTCTCGGTTAAACGGCGTTTTATACAATGCAATATTTATTGGTAATGATTAAATTACAGGTCAAAGAGCGATTTACAAAAAAAAAAAAAATATTTCATTGGAAAAATTCTTCTTATGTTCTCTCGACAAGCATTGATTTCAATCTATTTTTGAATGATATTAGAGAATATCGATAGTAAGACAAGTTTTGATAGACAACAGCTGGGATACATTTTCTCAATAACTTCTTAATATTAAATATAATATATTAGGGAGGGTGTCAAACCTCTGTCCCTACAGCAACCCCTAATGCTAGTAGGGTTATTGAACGTGGGCGAGAATAAATCATTTTATATTTAGCTATATTATGCTTTGTTAGGTTGAGTCTAGCATCATTATTCGATGTAAAATTTGTTTTTTTTTTGCCTTATACTTTCCATCAACAATAACACCAATATACGGAACGTAATTACCACTACTCATAATTATTTGTAGTTTTGAGAAATACTGTCTTTAAAAAAAATGGATACGGTTTACTTTAAGTAAAAATCTAAAGCTTGTGATGTCGCATCAGCGTGACCATAAAACTTCTTCTTCTACTTCTTCTTCTTGCTTCAGGAAATGTTATCTGTACATTTGCATAGTTAAATATATCTCTCAATTTAGACAAGAATTTATTGATTACTATAATGTAAACGTAATTATTTCATAAGTTACACGATATGCGTTTTTTCACTATAGTCAAAGAGCTCGCGTTTTGCGTGCGCGTAAGTGTTGCTTACTCTGGTCCAGTAATTATTGCCTATACATCGCATGGCCTCTTGTCCGTGCTACATGCGGTCAGACAACATTCCTATTCTATTAGTAGGTTGGCATATAAATAACGTTTGAGATTGAGCGATTTTTTAAAAGGACAGTTAAAGTAAATAAGAGCAAAGTCAAAGTGAATTAAAATTGGGATAATATCGCATATGTTTGAAATTAGAATAACAGAAGGTTGAATCTTACTAATATTATAAATGCCAATGTTTGGATGGATGGAAGGATGTATGGATGGATGTTTATATGAAGATATCTCCGGAACGGCTCAACATATCTTACTAAAATTTGGCATATATGTAGAATATAGTCTAGAAGAACACATAGGCTACTAATAAAGGTTTTTTTTTTAATTCCGCGCGGACTGAGTTGCGGGCGACAGCTAGCGATTTTATAAATAAAAGATTAATTTAATTTCAAGTACATGATACATAACAATTATTTCGTTAATGCTAGTCATCATGTGTTCAAATAAATAGCGTTTAATATACAGTGTAATAACCAGCTGACAGAGGTTACGGTGTATCTAATTGCATAATTCAAATGGTTGTCGTCGGCCTACCGTGTGCATGCCCGCACATTTCTAAATTACTCCACACTTAAGATTCCTAGCGGACGAGCAATGTCAGACCCCACCCTTCACTCACTCGATTTGTTTACGCACTTTGTAATTATGTTTTTCTTAACGGCGCCACTGCGGAGACATAATATCCTAGACGATAGCTTGAGCACTTCGCTACCGGAAAAATAGACTTGACTTCGATGTAATTTTTTGTAACTGTGGCTTTCTCTTATCGAAACTCCTGCACAATCTTGTTTTTTCTCTTATTCTTAAAAAAACAGATTATGTCATATACACGTTTTTACACTACATATAATAGATAGGTAGAAGGCAGAATGTATGGATGGATTGTGTGAAATGAGTAAAAAGGGAGTGAATTTGACCATTGATAGGAATGTATGGAAGAGAAAATGTACAATAAAAGGTCAGATTAAAGATGATGTGTACATAATATTTTTGTCCAGAATACTGTGTCAGTTTCGGTCTAGTTCTACCTTAAACGTAAGGTCTAAGACACCAGGCCGACACCGACTCCGAAATAACAATAATTGTAAAGTATAGACATATTTCGAGAAAGAAAAGAAGTTTATTGCTTTCGGGGGAATTTGTTCATGGCATTATTTTGTTTTTTTTTAGCACATTTTGTTTCAGAATGTTTTTTTTTTGGTTTCAGAAGATTGTTTCAGTATGCTTTATTTGCGATTGTTTTTTTTAAGTCGGCTTTCGTTTTTTCTTAAACATTTTGTTTTTAGAATAGTCATGGATGTTGATAGTTGTCATGTGTAAATTAGGTTAATTAAAGACATCAACGAGTAATTAAATTATTAGTATTCTGAGTATTATTAGAGGTCTATTAACATGATTATTTTATTGGGATTTTTAATGCATTTCTTTCAAATTAAGGACGACGTAGATAATGGGTTAGCTAACTATAATGATTCTTTACACGAATTAATTAGATCGTTATTAGATATATCAATTTACTTAGATTAAAAAACAAACAAAAGATTTAAAAATTCCTTAAAATGTAGGTGGAATTTAATCTTAACATGTAATTTGTATGAAGTGTTTTAGTTGCTAATTAGAGAGAACTCTTGAATAAATATTAGCTTTGTTAGTATTGAGTAAGTGAGCTTGCGCTAGGTCTTGTTCGAGGGCCGTTGACTTGTTAGACAGGCGCGTTAAGGAATATAAGTGATTATTTACTAATGGTGAACTCACGACTAACTTGGAAGGATTTGTCTCCAAGAAACATAACATTTACTTTAAAAAAAACCGTCTTTTTCCTTAGAATAACGCAGTAGTTGACGCTTGTTGCACGTTTATTTCAAGCACGGCAGTTTAGCGTTTACTCGTCCTGTGCAATTGACGTTTAATAGGAAAGCTGCCCGGATGAAAACCGCTTTGAAGACGAGTTAGGTAGCGAAGAGCTTAGACTTCAAATGAATTACATTACTTTTTTACAACGCTTTACAGTTAATATTTATGTTATTTGCATGTTTATTAGTTTTTCGTTTAGCTTTTAAATAACACACTGCAAAAGTTCTTTTACAATGATTTGTAGAGAACTTTTATATTTACTTTGTTAAGTCACTAAGTATTTTATAAAAAATTAACACTTTCCATACCACAACGATGTGTGTGAAAATTTACACGAAAGCGGCACTGAAAGTGTTAAGTGACAATAGTAACTAGATAATGTAAACTTTACATTTATAATGTTATATGAACCATTGATATTTTCTTAGGAATGGCCTGAATTAATTCCATTCCCTGAGATCCACTATCTTTCATCGTGACAGAACTCCAAATGCCATCTTATCATCTTGATAGTTTGCATTCCAGGACTGTGCGTACATCGCTGAAATTCCTGAGTCGTATGACCACTTTTTGTAATTACCTGTCGTTCCGACTTACCTGTAGTTATATGTTCCTTGAAAGATTAATCCTTAGTGAAACAAATGGACAGCGTGTCGTCCAGATGACTGAATAGGTAACTGACGCTTACATCAACAACTCAGGAAGAAGGAAAATGCAAGTTTTCTTAATAAGAGATCCTAAGTAATATTGATATTCCACGATATAATTGTATCAGATTGTTTAACTTAAACAACATTATTATTTGAGCAATTGAAAAATCCGGCAAATAGTGGTAGAGCCCGCTTTAACATCTTCGCACGAATTGGCCCGGCTCGCCCTGTGAAATACCACGACCACACAGAAGACAGGCGTGAATTGGAAGAAATTCCGCGTTTCTTCTGATGAGTGTGCGTCCAGGAGGCCTTATTTCGTCCTCTTTCCCATCCCACCCTTTTTCTTATAAGGAAAGGATGGGAAGTGGAAGTGGACTTTCCGTATGAGAGGAAGCATGGAAAGGGAAAATATTTTCTTTCTGTGCATCCTCTCCTTCGTCGGTTAAAGGTAGGCAACGGTCATTTGCTGTTTCAGAGATTTCTGGTGGCCGCTCGCTCGTTTGCCTCCTTGTGGTATAAAAAGACAACAGTTAGAAAAAAAACATGTTATCCGTAAACTATTAAAGTACTCTGCGTTCTATGTTATATTTACTTATGAGCAAGTAATCAGAGTGGTTTATGATTTTAGTATTTTATCTCAATAAATCAGTTACGAGATAATAAACGGATATACGTGTTTGGTTTTAAAACAGACGCATGTTGAGCAATGGGCGTTCGTTATCTCTTAGTTATTATTAAATTATTTAATAAAACGATTTCCTGTGTTCAGAATTATAACATAAATTAATAGTCAACTTGAATTGATTCAACATTAAAACAGAACCAAATCTAAAGAATAATAAAATTTTAGAAATTAGTAATAATTGTTGATGACTAATTCCCTTGAGTAATCGGTTTAAATTCCTATAATAATTACTATGAATTAGGCAATTGCCTTAATTTGGCTTAAGTTTGGATAAAGGAAGTTTATAACTATACTGGTTTAAAAGAATGACACACTGGAAGCTAATTCATTCGATGGTTCCGTATCAAACGCGTGTTGGATACTTCACTTATAGGTACAAAACTGTTGGATTATTTTGAACCGTTATTAGCGTAGAGTAGGGAACATGTGTTATGTTATTAGTCGTGTTATATTTATAAATAAGGCACGTGACTCACCTCATGCCAGGAATGCTCATGGAGCGGCTGCGACGGCGCAGGCGACGGTTCACTGAAAAATTAAATAACCCATTTGCACTTCACGTTTGCGTAGGTTTTTTAGTTTTTTTATGCGTATTTCTAGTTTGTTGTACTCAAGTTATTTATATCGTTAGAATAGGACACAAAAAATATCGCGATAAAGAAGCCGAGATTTTTGTGAGATCAATAAAAACTTTGAGAAAATACGTACGTCGCAAAATGCTTGAAAATTAGAAAAAAAAACACAAACAGAACGCCAACGTACAACAGTGGTAAGGGATAGGAAACATAAAAATTCCCTCACGTAGTTTTGTTTTATCCTCATCTATTGCAGGACAATGGAGCGGCGTTGAAAGAGTCGCTAATGCTACTTTCACACGAGGGTAGAATCGCAAGACAATAGACACAACAGGACTCGTTTAGACAGTAAGCAATCAAACAATAGCAGTACTGCAATGTCTTTTAATCGACTTCACTGTTCTACCCTCATGTAATCCCGGTATACTATTAATTCGAACGTGTAGTACGATACGAAAATGTAGTTATTTCTTCGTAAATAATGGCTTTTTACTGGCCGAAAACAAGTTTTTCTTGTCTTTTGTTACCAACATTACGGTTTGAGCCATCTGTTTGTTTAAATATTGACTATTGTTGAACATGAAATTTTATTTGTGTAACAATTAGTTCTTAACGTTTATTGCATATAGCTATTTGTGGTTATTTTCCATGTTCAGTTTACTTTGAGTATGGTTTTATGTGAATATTCGATTAATGTTTCCTGACATTTATTAAGAATCACTAGAATTGATGAATGACTGTTATGTGCTAGCGGTCGCATGCGACTCCGTCCGCGCAAGATTTGTTTAATTAGTAGCCAATTTGTCTCTCAGGCGAGGTCGCGGACGAAAGCGAACGCGTGCCCGCGGCCTCGCCATGATGCATAGGAGGAACAGAGGGGTTTAGTGGGTATGCTTCCCATCCGGAAGAAATCCCACAAAACTACATGGAGTATGCATAAAGCATTCCCCTCTGGAAAAAAAAAGCCTATGTGTCTACATCTATACCGAATTTGTCGAGATCCGTGAAGCGTTGTGGAGTACCTTCTAAGAAACATCCATCCATCTAAACATTCGCATTTATATTATTAGTAAGGTTTATAACATTATTAATAAAAAAAAAATCTATATTTATTAACTAACAAACTTTTATTAGAAAATGGAGTAGGATTAGTTTGGTTTAGACATTTATTCAATTAGCGAAACTTAATACAAAAGAACAATAGTATGATTTTATGAATATTATTTTAATTGATTTTTGTCAACAAAAAGTGTCAGTTTCTCTTGAGTTGAAAATAAAATTAATTTCACTTCCGCGGATATTTCTACACGCGGCTTGGTTTATTTTCGTCAGAACCCGGAATCCTATTTAAAAGTCAGAAATGTTTTGAACTGAAAAACTTAACGTCAAAGAAAATCTTCTAAAGTAGAAATGAAAGTTCAGTTCACGCTCTATATGAAATATTAATTATAAAAATATATAAATAAAACTCTACACTAGATAAATTTTCCGTCTTTTGTAATCACGTTAATGATATTTAATTTTAAATCACTAAAGTTTATTATCTTGCCTTATTAATATTATATATGTGACTGTTTGGATATTTGCTAGAAGGTATCTTCTTAACGGCTGCAAGGATCTTGCTGATATTTGGCATAGATGTAGAACATAGTCCGGAATAACACATAGGCAACTAATACAGTTTTTTTCCATTTCTGCGTGGACCGAGTCACCACAGCCTAGTGTACATAACTATGACTTTTAATATGATGTTTAAACAGTTTTATAATTCGTGCACCAAGTGCGAGTTAACGCGAGATCTCATGAAGAAACCATTTGGTGACATGCATATAGTCTTAGTCTATGACCCCAGTTCTGGATGCAGATAAATTTTGTATTAGAACTGGGTTGATCACTGTAAACTGACAAATAGTATGCCAATGGGATTCTAGACAGGAATTCGAATACAACTATGCACAACAGGCTACTCAAAGAGTAACCGCCAGTACATTTTATAGCAAATTTTTTAATAAATAGTACTCCATTGCAATGTACGTAGCAAATTATATTTGACCTTTACAAACAACATTTTTTGGAGTATGTTTTTATGGAATGTATTCAAGGAAACAGTTAATGGAGTCTATAAAAAGATTTTTAGGTACAAAGTCGAAAATTGCAACATTTACGTTTTTTACCGATAATTGTCTTCGATTCCCAGATTAGTCATATCATTGTGTGTGGGCGTAGAGCGTGAAACTACACAAGATTGAGACATGACCATCCCTTTGTCAGAATACAATTTATTTTATTATTAATATTCCAAGTCCATTCTTATAAATGTTTATTTCTTTGTTGTCAAGAGATATTATTCAAATATTAGCAATGAAAAAACAATTGTGTTCCTCGGGAAGAGAGACTTTGTATGCATGCTGAGTGATAGCGGTTTGTCTTTTATAAACTTCTTTTGTTTGATTTATAAAATGTATCGGGAATTTTAAAACGCACGTGATTTAAGAGTAATTTCTAGCGAGAGTTTCCTCGTAATTTTAGTCACGGTAATCAATGAGAATCAATTCGCATAAACTAGCTGTCGACCGCGCCCCCGTCCGCGCGGAATTAAAAAAAAAACCTTATTAGTAGCCTATGTGTTCTTCCAGACTACGTTCTACATCTGTGCCAAATTTCATCACGATCCGTTGAGCTGTTCCGGAGATAACTTCCAACAAACATGCATCCATCTAAACTTTCGCATTTATAATATTAGTAATATATGTTAACTTTTATAATAAATTCGCATAAACATAACAACAAAAGAAATGATAATTTTATCGCAAAAACTAGAAGCACAGTAGCAAAATATAAATTTAATTAACAAACATATATTAAAAATTCCAGTAGAAACTCTCTAAGCGTATGAATCATTTCTAAGCATCGTTAGTCAACTACTGAAACCTACGTAGCCCGGTTGCGTGCTCGGCCGAGACGACTGCCCACTTGACACGTTTCTGCGAACGTATGTTTACTTTAGTAGCGTGCAGCTCTGCATTTATTAAATACATCTATTGCTGCTTAGAGTATATACTTGTGAATTATAAAAACACAGTTTCAACTGCCAAAAGAAGGATACTTTCTATATATATCCTAGTGACAGAAAGTCTTTTCTTTCATCATCAACCTGCACTTATCCCGGTATAGTATGTACTACTCCATACATCTCTATCAGCCGTCATATCTGAATCCTTCTCCTTCTTACGCAAGTCTTTAACACAATCCATCAATACTTTCTTTGGTCTTCCTATCTTTGTAGTCATTCACATTCAATCTCTTTACTTTTTTTCATATGATCAATATCGCTCCGCATAACATGTCCAAACTACGCTAACCTATGGCTCCTCAATTCCTCGATCACTGGCGCTACTTTCAAACTTCCTCTAATATACACATTCTTAATTTACAGAAATTCTCTCTGCATTTTATTTAAAACGTAATTGTGTTTAAGAAAATTAAAATAAGTGTAAGGAATGTAGCAGGAAAAAGGAAATAATATTAACCAATAAAATATAATGAGTGCGTCCACACCACGGGCAATTTGTCGCGTGTACTGTTAAACTCACGATTTACAAGAGTGTGGGCGGGCGGACGACGCGCGCCTGTAGGCGGCCGCCATTGACAAGCTGTGCCCCCAGGGTCCACCTTCTGCCCACACCTCAACCTTTACGATCTACTACATAAGCGTCAATAAAAAATACGGGTCCAACGCAAAAAGACATAACTGGATTTTTAGGAAATGTAGATTTTTATACTTCTCGAAAGATTTTTATATTCCTCAAATCAAAGGTTTAGTATATTGGTCTAGTCATTAACTTATAATATATGAACAGTTTTGACGTAGGAACATAGCTGTGTAATTTTGTACCTATAGTAAAATATATATCTTACTAATATTATAAATGCGAATGTTTAGATGGATGGATGGATATTTGTTTGAAAATATCTCTAGAACGATTCAACGGATCTTGATGAAAATTGGCATAGATATGGAACATAGCCTTGTTTTGTCGTGGACGACAGTTAGTATTCTAAAAAGTCAGAATTTTTGAGTTACAACTATATGCTTAGGAGCCGCCGAAACTTTAACATACCGCAACACTTTATCGAAAGCAAACAATGTATACTATGCTCATTGAATTTCGGATTTTATTGCCACAAATATTACATCACACTAACAGTAACTACCCTTTTGTTTATTCCTTTATCCATTGTTAACATTATCTGACAGATAAAGAGGTCATTGCCCTTCCAGCTGATAGTAAGAGTTGACTTAAAAGAATCCGCCCGAATCAAATCAAAGAAAAGTAAATGAAATAAACAAGATGGGTAAAATACGAGTAAAACAACATTAATCGTCAGAATAGTCGTAAAGCAAATTAGATTCACTGAGATACTAAAAAATGTTCCCGTCACAAAATCGGATCTTAAAAAGATAACAGCATTGCTATACACGCATTAAAATAAATGTGAAATGATAACAAGAATACGTTCGATAGCGTTGTGATTTATGTTTATAGTCAGTGCGTGGTATTTCATAATTACTTGTTAAGGTAAATTTACAACGGAATAACCTAGCATTTAAGGTTCTGACCTAACCAAAGCGAGTGTAATTTGAGTATATGTCTAATTTCATAACATAAAACATTTTATTTATTTGATTAATGTTTCTACGTAGAGAAAAATGCGGTCATACACAAGAAATTGAGAATTACGATAAAATAATACAGCATTTTATCATAATTCTATGTTTAATAGCAAGAAAAGTCTAGATAGAAAACCTAGGGATTATTGACGTTGAATAGTCTAGCCTTGATCTATATTTTAAAATGTATAACGTTTTCGTTAAAATGAGTTACATTGGTATTCCAATGGAAATTATTTTATTTTTAAAATTATAAGACCCATAAAAATCCTTGAGTTTAT